GCCAGGGCATGACTGCGCTTCTTGAATTCTAATTCTTAAAACAATTATATTTTAAAGACTTCCAGGGCATAGACACATTATGAAATTATAACCAAAACATCAGTCTCACAATTCTTCACACATACATAAATTGTTAGTTATAAAATAAGTGTAAAAAACATGTATTCCTGTACATGATTTCTGGAATTTCAAGTTTCCTACAACTAACTTAGTTATCTTCACATTTCTATCTTGAGACTCAAATAAGTTAGGTGATAAGACTTGTTTCTTCACCTCCTAAGTTAAAAAAAAAAGGGGGGGGGGCTAAATTGTGTTTTAAGTTCCTCCCAACTCCACCATTTCATGACTGAACTCACTAGTAATTCATCTTCCCTCTACAACAAATGCCTGGAATTCCCAATTTCCCATCTTTATTAAACAGAACCACTTCCACATAGCATATAGCTTTCCAGCTCCTGTGTTGTGTTCCTACTGAGTATATCTCACCCCTGTAAACTATATAATCTCCCTTATGATCTCCAAACTTCTTTGTTTGGTTAAAAGTATGAGCAAATAGTCTCACTATATACTGTATACTTAAGTATAGATTCTTACATTATAAAATGACTTAAAAGAACCTTTAAAATATTGGGCTAAAAATAAATATAAAAGAATAAACATTTTTTTAAAAAAGGTTTTGTTTATTTATTTTCAGAGAGGGAAGGGAGGGAGAAAGAGAGAGAGAAACATTGATGTGTGGTTGCTGGGGGCCGTGGCCTGCAACCCAGGCATGTGCCCTGACTGGGAATCGAACCTGCGACACTTTGGTTCGCAGCCCAAGCTCAATCCACTGAGCTACGCCAGCCAGGGCTAGAATAAACATTTAGAGCAAGCCAATTAAAATGGATTAAGACATTACCAGTGTAAATGCAAAGATTTTCAGGTTTTCTAGCACTGAAAAATATACAAAAACCCTGCAAAACAAGACTTTTATAAGACAAACTAATACTACTTTAGAACTTGATATATAAGGCCGATTATAACTTCTGATTACAAACTACTGCCTAATTATATTACAAAATTATCATAAGGTAATGTAACTGGCACCTCCATTTGAAGTTTATATATATATATATTTATATATACTATATTTTTTGGAATAGAAGACAATTATTTTTGTTTTCTTATATTTATTTGTTTAACCTGCTATTAAACAGTTCATCAGGATTGGCACCACCCACGTCTCATTGTCCTTATATCCCTACCTCCCTGCCCTTTCTAATTTACCCACCCAAATTCCAACCCTGCCAAACCCAATTCTCTGTCTAGCTCAGGCCTCAAAGAACTGAATATAGCTGGAGAAAAGACACAACCATATTGGCTGATCTTAATTTTAATTTCATGCCCATATCCTTTAAATAAGTACTTGGATCCTCCTAGCAAACTGGCTTTCCTACTCTGAGAAAATTTACAACTTCTTCGAAACCTCCAATACCCCTCTCTTCCCTGCCCTGACCACTTATTTTATCAAGAAAATGGAAATAGCCCTGGCTGGCATAGCTCAGTGGATTGAATGTGGACTGTGAATCAGGCATCACAGGTTCGATTCCCAGTCAGGGCACATGCCTAGGTTGCAGGCCATGACCCCCAGCAACCACATATTGATGTTTCTCCCTCTCTCTCTCTCTCCCTCCCTTTCCTCTCTAAAAATAAATAAATAAATAATCTTTAAAAAAAAAAAAGGAAACAATCACTAAGCCTTGTCTTTCCTCTTTCATCCTACCTGCATGTACAATGGGGGACCCAACCCCCTCCCCAGAATTTAATTATAAAATTTGTGTATGTCTTCTTACACTTTTAAACTTCAGTCACTTTCAAAGTACTCTCCATTTGATGCAACACACCTATCAAGACTTCCTACTGCTCAAAACAATTTTTGAACTTTGGATTTTGATGCCTTTTAGAGCTTCTGCCATTTTTTGTTTCACCTCTTCCACATCAGCAAAAACGTTTCCCTTTGAGGACTTTTTTTCATTCAGGAAACAAACAAAGAATTTGCTTGGGGTGAGACTGGGTGAACTGGGAGAGTGGGGCACGAGGGTCATGCCGTTTTTGGGCAAAAAAACAAACTGCTGAACACTCAGCAGTATGGGCAGGTGTGCTTGTAAATTACCCATCATAGAATTCACTTAAGTGGAACACAGTCTCTTGCAACAATGCCAACTGGCATACTGATTACAAATGGGTTCCTAGAACACTCACCTAGTGGGGGAAGCCTTCAAGGGACCCACCCTGCAGAAGATAATTCTAGTTTTTGGGGTCCCCCTCCCCTGTATACCATATACTGTCTACCCACTTGTTTCAAAAGTAAAGTAGAAACCATCCTTCTATCCAAGGCCAACCTTTCCATGTAAGGACATTTATCCAAAGATTCTCTTGCCATTATCCCTAACAACTTATAAAAATGCTGTAATATCCCTATAATTCATTTCTCCTTAACCCACTCCGATCACTTTTGGCCCAGGAGCTCATTCAAAGGGCTCATCAAATTTCAACTACTTTACTTGGTCACATGATCAATTTTTAATCCTCTTATTTGGACCAGGGTTTTGCAGTAGACTTACTGCCTCCTTCCTTAAGTTTCCTACTTTTAGTATTATTGATGTTACACTTTTCTGCTTCCATCACTGTTTGCTTTTCTGACCAGAGTGCTCCCAGTCACCTCCCTCTTCTACATTAACACTCTCTACTTGATGTCCTCCAGTCCAAAGATTTAAAATATTACTTGTAAAGTTTGACTCCCAAGTTATCTCTTTAGCCAGACATATGCCCTGAGAAACAGTAGTCCAAATCCAACTTGGCTACTGCACATGTTCTGAGCTGAATACTAGTTATCAAACTCAGTACATCCTTTAAAGAGCTCCTGATTTATTCCTCAGAAACCAGTGCACCCTCGCCAGCCTTCCTAATTTTAGTTCACCCAGGTGCTTGGGCAAAACAATTGATTTCTCAAAAAAAAAAAAAAAAAAAAAAATTTTTTTTTTGTTGTTTGTCTGTTTTAGTCCCAGGCATGAAAGTAAGGTCCACTTGGCTCCATCTTAAAATTACATTCTAAACCAAACCACTTCTCACTAACTTACAACTTAACACCTCTAGTTTAAGCCACCATTTCTCAACTGGACTATAATTGAGCCTCTTTAGGAGCTGGTTTCCCCACTTTCTCCAACTTGGTCTATTCTCCACCTAGAAACTAGACATCAAAAGTATAAATCAGTTGTCACTCCCATGCAAAATCCTCTAATGGCTTCTCATTACAGACAGAAAAATGATCATCAAGGTCCATCTTATTTAGATCTTGTTAATCACCCAGAACTCATCTCCCATGACTTTCCTTCACTATGTACCAGCCACATTGGTGTCCTTATAATAGGTCAGGTTCATTTCTCCCATGAGGTTGCATTTGCAGTTAATGCTATCTAAAATTTCTTCCTGCATATTTTCCTCATCATTGTGGTCTTCAGGCAAAACATCAGCTCCTCAGAGAGGCAGATCTTTTTTGTTCACATCCCAATCAAAATTAGACAACCCCAACCTACTCACTCTGACTTAATCTAACTCTAATCTTGCTATATTTTCTTCACATTCATCACCACCTGAAACTGTTATTTGCATACTTTCTGGGTATCCTCTCTTTCTTCAAGTTCCAAGAGGGCAGGACGATACAATGGCATATAGTGGATGCTCAATAAATATTTCTCTAATGAATGGGACCATTGTTTTTTTAATAACCAAGGCTTTAAATTTCAGGCATCACTGGTGGGCATTTTTGATATTAGTTTGATAAATGTTTAGCACAGGTTAGCTAAAATGCATTAATTTTCCGGATTATTTTCTAGTACTGAAAAATATACCCTCAAAAACTCCAAACAGCATTTTATAAGACATAAATTATTATTATTTTAGAACTTGATATATAAGCCTGCATAACTTCTGACTACAAATTACTGCCTTATTACAAAATTATCATAAATGCAATTGGCGTCCTTAAATTTAAATTTACATACGCTTATGTACATGTGTTTTGGAGTGGCACATAGTAAGTCTCATAAATAAGGAAAAAAGGAGAGCCATTTAAAAAATAAGTTTGAAGCCCAAAACACTGGCAATAAACAATAACATCCACTATGACTGGAACCATAGCAGTATCCTTCCCATTGTATTTCCAGAATGAATGAACCCACGTGTAAATTGGTTAACTGATGTAAACGAGGTTAGAGATTTATCATTTTAGTCCACTCAACAGAAAACAACTACATGGGGACCAAAAAGCAAATTTGGCAGTCTGAAAATGAGCTTTTAAAGCCTCTAAAGGATTTCAGTTGTTTTCTACACTGAAGGCGATGCAGAGTAGAAATGTTGACAGTTATGACACGAACTCCACAGCTACAGGTTACTAAAGAGGTTTTAATTTCATAAAGAAACTCAGGGACCACTGCACTTGGCACTAGATACCTCCTTTTAGGTAAGACTGGCAGGTAGATGCGCGACAGCCTGAAACCACTAAGTCGGCCAGAGTGGCCCAGTAAGTTGCCCACAAGGTAAACTTCTCGGGGTCTCACAGCTGGAAAGAGCGAGGCCCTCTAATATCACTGGGGACTGCTTCCAAGAAAAGAACGAATTTTAGTGTATGTGAGAAAAGGAAAAATAAAAAGCCACAGAGCTGCCATGTCCTAACTCCACCTTCCGCGTGCTCAGCCCACAGATGGCCCAGTCTCCCGGCCGCCGCCCCTCCTTCCACTCGTTTCCTAGCCCACCGAACAGCGCCGGGAAAGGTCCGGCCGTCCTCTTCTCCCCTCCCCCAAACCAGAGGCAGAGGAGGCCCGAGAAGGTTGGGAGCTTCCGTTCCTTCCCCGCCCAAATGGGAAGAGGTGGGCAGTGGGGAAACGAGCGCGCCCCATACGAGCCCCTGTCGTCCTTCCTGAGGACCCAGAGCTCCGTTCCCACCTAAACTCGAGACTCACCAGTTAGCACCGCAGCCACTGCACCAGGTCCCCACACACCGCCACAGCCCCCACTCCAGGGCCGCCCCCCCACCCCAGAAGCCTGCTGCCGTTCGTTCCGGGGCAGTTGGAGGAATTACTTCCGCTGGGTCACGGACGCTTTTTCTCCCCCCGCCCCCAACACGCGAGAGATTAGTATCTGCTAAGGCACTGCACCGAGAGTGTCGCCCGCTTCCGTCCACAGGAAGTGCACAGCGCCCCCTAACCTCAATGCCGCACTACCCCAGGCCAGTGTCGAGGATCAGCAATCACTGGTAAGTCTCAACCAATGTGATACTAGGTCTTCTGATTCCCAGTATGCAGCGCCGACCCTGATCCTAACTCTTTAGGGGTGGTATCCTCAGAGACAGGCTGGGGGGGGGGGGCCCCCGAGGCCGCACTGCATCCTGGGGTTTGTAGTTTCTCCGGCCGATCCGTCGGGTTTGGTCGAGGCAGTAGTGCATCCTGGGACATGTAGTTTCTCATGCTGGGTTAGGGTTTGGGCGATTTTAGAAGTTGTCCCTGTCTCTCATTTGCGGGTGCGCCTGGAAGTTGGAGACTCTCTGCAGAAGAAAGATCGAAAGGTGGGAGTGCGGTTTCTATGCTAATGAGATCGTGTTTTTTAGGAAGCAACATCCTTGGAGAAGTTGCAGTGTGTATTTGAAGAGCTTCTCAACTGCTGGCGCAATAGCCTGGCCTCATTTCCTCTCTTTCCGGTACCGTTCGGTGTTTTCCGAAAATTGCCCCTCCCCTCCGTCCCCTCCCATCCCCGAAGTTGCTCACGCTTTAGGATTCAGAGATCCTTCACAGCAATTCAGGCCTGTGGAGCCGGCACTGAGTTCTGAGACCATCTTTGTTACTCCATGTCCCCTCTGCCCCCGCACCCTTTCTTGCTATCTCTCGACCCACCTATCCTTTTTACTTGCTTTTCTGTGGTTAACATCAGGCACCCTTCCAGGAAGGCTGAAAGAGCTGAAATTCACCCTTTTTAGAGAACTGTTGCACGTAGGAAAAGTAGGGCCAAAAAGCTCACCATCGCGTTACTCAACTAAGCACTGTCGCGCCATAAAGGGAAACAGATACAGATGATCCAAAGCTTGTGGACCTGAATAATGAGTTTTGTCTGGAAGATATTTTTCGTTGATTTGGCAGATAAGCTGTATTGCTTTTTACCGAAAAACTTTCCTGGGTTAATTTATCAAAGTCTTTGCAAAAACTGTTGAACTTTTTTGGTTGTAATGGTACTCAGAGTTTGGAGGGGAGGAGACGCAGTGGCGTGAGAGGAGGAGGCTGTGAGCCCATTTTCAGACTTTTTCTTCTTTACGCCTGAAGTGTCTTTTTCTCTTCTATCTTGCCCCTTTTTTGCCCGCTACATTATCACCCTATAAAGGATGATAGTAATCTAGAGAATGGTAAAATTTTCCAGGTGATGATACCGAAGCTAGCCAAAGCCAGACTTAAGGTTAGAATCTAGGGTAAGACTTTTTTTTTGTGCAAAATTTTATTTTATTTAAAAATATTTATGTAATCAATGTACATGTTTACTACAAAAATGCAGAAATTGCAGGTAAGTTTGTTTTTTCCATGACCTTTTACACAGATCATGCACTTGATTGTTCTGATGTGTAGCTTGTGTTGTTGACAGAAGCCATTGTCAGGATAGAATATGGAGAGAGAGAATGGTTTCCTATAGGCAAAGGTGTCAGACACGGGTGCATTCTGTCTCCCTATTAGTTTAATCTTTATACAGAACATATTATATGAAAATGTGGGCTAGACCCAGAGGAAGGAGGAGTGAAAATTGGTAAAAGAAATATCAGTAACTTAAGATATGCAGATGACACCATCTTACTGGTAGAAAGTAGCAGCTATTTGAAATGACTTTTGTTAATGGTGAAAAAAGAAAGTGCCAGAATTGGACTGCATTTGAACATCAAGAAGACAGAAAAAATACACAACTTAGACCACAAAAACATTGAAATTGTTAAAGATTTACCTTGGTTCTCTCATCAATTCAAATGGAGACTGCAATCAAGAAATCAAGACAAGGCTAAGACTTGAAAGGGCAGCAATGGAAGAATTTTGCAAGATTGCCAAGAGCAAAGATTTGTGATTAGAGACCAAGGCCAGGACCATCCACACCCTCATAGTCTCCTATGTACAGATGTGAAGTTGGACAGTGAAGATGGCTGACAGGAAAAAAATTGTTTGGTTTGAAACATGGTGTTGGAGGAGATCTCTATGAATATTCAAAGTTGCCAAAAAGATGAACAAGTGTGTCTTAGAAAAAATTAAGCCTGAAACATTGCTGGAGGCAATAGACAAAACTGAAGCTGTCCTACTTTGGGCACATCAGGAAAAGATATGGTTCTCTGAAAAAGATAATAATGCTGGGAAAAATAGAAGGTGGCAGGAAAAGAGGAAGACCAAATATGAAATGGATTGATTCCATAAAAGAAGCCATAGGCATGAGTCTATAGGAGCTGAGCAGGGCTGTTGAGGACAGGACATTGTGGATGTCACTTATTCATGGGATTGCCAGGAGTCAGAGCTGCCTCAACAGCATGTAACACGCTATATATATGGTTCTGCTTACTATTCACTTTCCAACTCAACAAATCTCAAAAACCCAAACTTCTGTAACCAAAATCTCCACAAGCATAATTTTAAATGTATAGAATTGCATTGCTTAAATGTACCATGATTCACTTAAGTATTTCCTTAATGTTGGCTATTTACCTTATTTCCATTTCTAAATCATTTTAAGTAATGCTGAGTTCAGTATCTCTGTCTGAAGACATCTTCAACCATGTTTCTGATTATTTGTTTGGAATATGAACATTTAAAAAATGTTGACAATTTATTGACAGATTTTTTTTTCTAGAAAGAGTCTCCTAGTATATGCTTTAAAGCAGTAATATATAAAGAAGTTTTTATGGTTCTTAGCAATATATTAACTTTATCAAAATCTTTTTTTTTCCATCATGCCATTCTGCCCTTTTAGTCACCTTAAAGGATGGAAAGGGGTTGGTGGATGGGGAGGAAAGATAGGTAAAAAACAAACAAAAATTACATACAGTAATAAGAGCCATATAGTCTACAAGTAGCACCCATTTTCGATTTTTCTATCATCCTCCATTTTTAAAGGGAATCTCTCAGGTGATATCAACAAGGAATCAAGTTTAATTTTTAAACAACCTTGGTATCATTCTAAAACCCCATTCAAGTAGTTTACATTCAACAAATGTTTCTAAAGTACTAGACTTGGGAAATCTATTTAACAATGCATAACAATTCCCTATAATTTTATAGCACAGTTTTCAGACGTGATTTCATTTTAGCTATTTAGAAAACTTGAGTAGACCAAATGTTATTTTTATTTGCTGACTGTATCTATAGGAGAAAACTAAGCTTAACAGAAGATAAAAATGCAGGTTTCCTCAGCATATTGTTGATATAATCAAATGAGAAGGCCATTAGACTGAGATAACTTGGATACTTGGTAACCTAGTAAGCAAACCAAAACCTAAGCCAGAATCAATTCCTACAAATACCTCAAGGATAATAACAACAAATAACAAGCAGCCAACTAGGTTTTCCCAAATAGTGCAACCACTTAAATTATAGCCAATAAAACAGTTTCTTTGCTTTTCCTGTATATCTTCTTTATAAAAAACCTTGCACTTTAGCTCCCATCAGTTGAACACTCTTAACCATTTCCAGTTTGGTGCTGCCTGATTTGAATAATTTTTGCTCATAAACTAAAATTTATTAGTATGCTTCAGTTTATTTTTTAACAATATTAAACAAAAACACTACATAAAAAAAGTTCAATATAAGTAGTATAATTTGATCCTTCTGGGTACCCAGAAAAAAGTAGACAGAATTTGGAGTTGCTAAGATGATATTATTTTACTGTTCTTCTCTGATGCAAATAACAAAAGTGCTTTTACCATTTGGGTGCTCATTCTGGAGACTAAGATGAATACGAGGTCTTTAGGCATTGTAAGGCCAAATTAATCATGTTGTGTTATGGGTTTCTGTAGCATTTTGTGAATTGCTATACTTTAATTATATTACAGGATTATTTATAGATGTTTCCCCCACTGTGTGAGCACTATGGATTGCCGATTATATCCAGTATCTTTATATGTTCTGTTTTTATCTTAGTCTTGACGATAGATGCTTAATCCCATTTTAACAAGAGGTGAACCAGTGTATATGGATGTGAGTGATTCCCTGAGACAAATTTAACAAGTATCAACGCTCTGTGAACAAGTTCCATTTATTTTCTGACAACCCACTGGTTGCTTTAAATTGTCATTCATTTCTGTTTAAATCGTATAAAGTATTATTCCTCGGTGCCAACAGGGTAGAATCATTTTCCGCAAAGAAAATAGTTGTTTGGGCCTAGAAAATGATGCCCCTGAGAAAGATTTAACCCTGGCTTTCATGATTTGCCCTTCGCGTATGGCTTTCCCCTAATTCCTTTCACACTGTCAACGGAGCGCCAGACTACGGGACCCGCAAGCCCTACGCGAGGGCTGGGCTTTTAGCGGATTGCGAGAACTACGCCGCCAGGGAACGCAAGCGACCGGAGTGAAGCTTGCCGGCGGGCCACAAATTCTGTGCACGTGCGGCGGCCAATCCAATCCGGTAGCCCTTAGGGTGCAGAGCGTGCGCGATTTAGCCCGGCTGGCCTTAAGGGTTTCCGGCGGCCAGTGCAGAGCTTTGGGTCGCCACTTCGCACGTGCGGAATGTTGCTTCTGGCGTCTGGCGGCCTGCTGACGGCTGGACGGCGACTGGGAGGAAAGAGGGCGGTGTTGTGGGCGGCCACCGCGCTCAGGGGCCCCAGGGCGGCTGTCTCTCGGGCAGCCTCCCACACTCCCACGGGCCTGATCGGTGGTGGAAGCGCAGGGTTGCCGGGAGCCGTGCCACTTTTCCGGCGTCCCGTGCCTTCGCAGGTCGGCCTTTGGAGGGCTTACGGGCCAGAGTAAGGGTGGGTGGTGAACAAAGTGTCCGACCTGGGGAGGCCCAGCTCTTCAGCAGCTTCCCCCACGCCTGCGGTGGGCTGTAGTGCGGAAGGAGCCCTCTGCGGGGTTGACGGGAGTAACAGGCCTTGCCTCGGGAACAGCCCGTGGTCGCGTGGGGCGTGGCGCCGGCGAGTCTAGGATCACCCATTGGAAAGTGGTTATTCTTTGTGTAGTACCAGGCAATTTACAGGGTGTCGGAATGAATACAGCGGATTTGTGGAGACTTACCGGTATTTTCTCCTGCTCTGTAGCAGAAGCTCGGAAGGATTATTGCAACAGAAGTGTATGCACCACCTGAGCCCAAATTAAGAACTCGGATAACCTGAGTTCTATTTTTTTATTGGGTGGTTCTATGTTTAAGAATTCTTTTGCTTTCTGGACAAAGGGGATGGAGACGTTAATTTTCTCATTTTAATCTCAATAAATTGTCTTCTCATTCTGTCCTGTAAAATATCAGGATTGAAACTTAGAAGAAACACCTAACTTAGGAATTCGAATTTAATACTTCAGCAGAAAGTAATTAGGCATATCTTAACGAAGTGTGTGTGCTGTAAAATTCATTTTCAGACGTTCCGGGACTCTTGGTCCCGTGAAATTTGACGTTGGGTTTTAAGTAAAATATTTTTCTGAAAAGGAACAAGGGATGAAAGGATGGATACAAGGCCTTCAGGGAAAGAAGTTGCTCTTATTTTTTTTTTTTTGTACTGTACTATAGTATATTTTAGAAGTATTAAAAATGGTCTGGACTTGACACAGTCTGATGTGTTTTGCTTACATCATGTGAAGATTAGTTTTTGAAGAGCAAGTGCATGTAAATCTTTGATAATCAAATGAGAGTGATGTTCTCATTAATAGTTTAATAGAAGAAACTATTCCAGTAAACATTTTATGTGCTCAAAGTCACACTATTTAAAAAGCGTGGAGCAAGGATGCAAACCTAGGTGTTCAAACTCCAACTCAGTATGTGTTTAGTTATGACTGATATTAAGGAAAGACATTCTATTAGCCAGTTTGATTTCTTTAGCTCTGTAGATCATTTGGAAGAATTCCTTATTTCACCTCTTGTGACAAGTTCTCTTTTCATTATCTTAATTTTTTTTAATGTAAAAGTTGGTCTAAGTGCAATTTATTATGTACTTACAAAGGTCTCTGTTTCAATAGATACCTCTTCGTTGGGAAAGATGTGTTCAAGGCTTACGTACAGAAGTTGAAAAATCAGAAGATGGAAGGCTGATTTATACTGGGAATCTGGCCCGAACAGTATTTGGTGGGTAGTCAGAAATGAAAATGTTTTTTTTTCCTTTCAATTGTTTAAAAAAGAAAATACTATTAGCTTGTGTTACTTGAACACTTCTTAATTACAAGACATAAGGAAAAACTAGATTTTAATTTTTTTCTTGTGGCCTTCTGATAAAAGATTTAGAGGTTGAGACCTTTGCATTTTTAGATTTAAAATAGATTTTTTGAAGTCTATTATGACTTTGTGACCTTATGCCTGGGTATTAAAGCTTCCTTCATTTGGTCACCTTTTGGGATGTTTAACAACAAAATACAACCAAAAGTGTATATTTGTATAATCTTGAATATACAGATAAAAAATGGAAGAATACCTCTGAAGAGTAGTTATTTAGGGGAAAAAGACAGTTATATGCTTTTAAAATTTGGCAGCTATACTTTCTTTTACATTTTTTGAGGTCATCTTTCAACAAACATGTTTTTTAGTGGCTTTTCCAGGTAGTATAAAGTTATGAAGAAGAAAAAGACAGTGCCAAATTGCTACAAGTTTAAAGCTCTTTCCTTAGATCCTAATTTAGGTTTTAGTATGGAACAATTTAGTAAAAAAGTTTAAGAGAACTTAAGTATGTCATTATAATCTTTAAAAAATATATAGCCTGAACTATCTGGAGGGTTATTTTATAACCAAGTTCACTATAAGTTTTCAGCACCCATATGTGTATTTGTGTTTTTGATCATGCTGGTATCAACCAATTATCTAAAATTTACTCTGGAAATTTGTAAGTTCTCAAATGTGTGACATTAAAATAGAGTATATTTAAAATACAGTTTTAGGTATTTAAAAAACTTTTTAGGAACAAAGGCTAATTATCATCACTATGGAGTGGCATTGTGAAGTTAAAGCAGCAATCAATTTTGAATGGTTAGAACTTTCTTCAGAATCCTGTGTCACATCTCTGGCCTGGGATACCTGGATTGATGCCACCAAGCTGCATTAACAGTGATCCTCCTCATACCCTTCCTTCTGAATACAGACTCTGTTCCTTCAAATGCAGGGAAGGCTTATCAATTAATTTATCTAATGTTCCCACTTGACTCCATTCTAGAGAAAAGAATATGAATAGGAATTAATATTGGTGTGGGTAGGATGTAATATTTGTGGAAGCACAGCTGTACGGGGTATTCAAAGTTCTAGAGTTGTAACTTGTAGAGGAATTTAATGTTTGATTTCTTTCAGTATTATAATAGAAAGTCACTCTGTATACTTTTCAGGGATTAATATTTTTATGTAGAAACTGAGAGGCAAATGTAAAACTAAGTGAGAAACATTAGGATATATCTAGAGATGCCATTCCTGGAGGTTCTTCAAACTGCCAAATGGATCCTAGTTTAAAGACATTTGAAGAGCCTTTTAGTTGATAGTTTTTGTTAATTCAGCAACAAATAATTACTGATGTCACAATATTCTTATTCTCATTTTAAGCTTATGAGACTTTTAAACATGAAAAAGTGTGAAAGAAGGACATCCCAGGCATCAAAGTAGTATGAGGAAATATTGGAAGATGGGAAAGTCTAAATAAATATTTACAATTACTTCAATCCAGGTAAAATAAAGTATAGGTGTGTATTAGTTTCCTAGAGCTCTTCTAATAAATTTGCGCAAACTTGGTGGTTTAAAACAATAGAAATTTATTCTCACAGCTTCCAAGGCTAGAAGTCTGAAGTCCAGGTGTTGGCAGGACCATGCTTTGTCTGAAGGCTTTAGGGAATAATTCTTCCTTACCTTTTCCAGCTTCTGGTAGCTCCCTTTTGTGTTCCCTTGCTTTGTGGCTGTATTACTCATCTCTGTTCTACTTACACGACCTTCTCTGTGTCTCTTTGTCCTACTCAATCCTTATAGGGGTACTCTCGTTGGATTTAGGGCCCACCCTAATCCAGTATGATCTCATCTCAGTATTTATCTGCACAGACTGCATTTCCAAATAAGTTCACATTCTGAGGTTCAGGGTAGACATACATTTTGGGGGGATGCTATTCAACCCACTGCAATATGACAAAAGTAATGTGTAAAAAAGAGGTAGTTGGGAGTGCAGAGGAGGCTTTTGATATAGGAGTCAACTTGGTCCACAATGTATCCCATGTGTCCCAGCGTCATGGCAACTACTGTGGGAGGAAGGGATTATTTTGAAATTACTGATGCAAGATAAGCCCTAAACCAATAGCAGCATGTGAGAGTATCTGCTTTGTTATGGCCTCACCAGTAGAGTATGTTGTTAAACTTCTGGTTTTTGCAGTTTGGGGAAAAATGGTATCTCATTGTGGTTTTTATTGCATGTTTTATATGATTGAAGTTTAGCATCAATTGATCTGTTTAAGGACCATGTGCATTTTTGTTTTAATGAACTGTCTGCTTATATTTCTTCCATGTTTGTGTACAGCATTTTTGGTTTTTTCCTTCTGATATGCTAGAAACCTTTTATATATAGGGAATTTTAACTCTGATATAAATTGCAATTTTTTTTTCATTTGTCTCTTTACTTTGTTTATGGTATTCATATCTATGTACATTTTTAATCAGATTTCTCAGTCTTACCCCCTCATTGGTTTAGTATTTTGAGTCATAATTAGAAAGGTTTTCTTATTCTCAGATTATAAAGGACTTTATGGATGTTCTCACACCTCTAAGTTTATTTTTTACATTTCAATCTCTGAGTTATTTGGAATTTTCCTGTTATATAGTATGAGGGATGGATTGAATTTTGTTTTTCTGTGTGGCTATCCAGTTGTTCCAACACCACTTTTGCCTACTTATTTAGATTAATTTTTATCCTATACTAAATATCCATATACAATGAGGTTTATTTCTAGATATTCATTTTGTTCTGATCTGTCTGCTTTTTTATGCCCTAGTACCATGCTATTTTAATTACAGCTTTATGCGTTAGTATCTAATACCCTCTCCTTATTTATGCTGCTTTTGTTTTTCCAAATTAACTGTATAATCAATTTGTTTAAGATCTCAACTTGTTTATTTTCTAAACAGATGGTATTTTTATTGGGATCATGTTGAGAGTATACATGCAAACTAAGAAATTTACATTTGAAGTCATTTGTTTACTTATTGTAGTAAAATGCCTAACAAAATTTATCACTTTAACAATTTTTAAGTAAACAGTTCAGAAGTCATTGATTTTGAATCTTTCTAATATAAGTTGAATACTTTTTCCATATATTTCTTACCAACTGGTGTTATTTTTATTTTTATTTTTAATTTTTTTTGTAATTTGTTGTTTTAATTCTGGGCACATGGCTTGATAAAGTTAGCCCAGATTTGAAGATTTTTCTATTAGATATGTGGAAGTACTTATTAATACAGTTTTACTTGATAATTTTCTGACTGAATTGGTTTTTATGGTGTTCATAAGGACATTTGAGTAATATTAAATCTTTTATTGTGGAACGGAGGTAGAGGCCAGTTAACCCTAAAGGAATTTTTCATTTGGAGAGGCAATGCATTGTAATGGCCAACAGCCTGGACTTGAGTCACATGGCCTGGATTTGAATCCCAACACTGCCACTTAGTAACTCTATGACATTGAGCAAGTGCCTCATTTTTCATGTATCCTGAATTACCTCATGATAATAATTTTGCACCTGTGTTATACTGTTTTCTATAGATTTCATGAATAAAATATCTAAAGTGTTTAAAACAGAGCCTGGGATGTTATAACACATGTGTTTTGATTTTGTTATAGTTTTAATGATGGTATAGTAAGAACAAAGGTGGAAAACTAATTGAATAGATTGATTATGAAAAGTATTAATTCTCTCCCCCTTTTTTTCCCATTTAGGTGTGAAATGTTTCTCTTATTCTACAAGTGTGATCAGCCTTGCCTTTCTACCATACATTTTTGCACAAAATAATATTGTATTTGGAAGTCTGCCTTTGCAAATCTTATTTTATGGCATCATAGGAAGCTTTACAGTGATCACTCCAGTACTGCTTCACTTTGTTACAAAAGGCTATGTCATTCGGTTGTACCATGAGGCCACAACAGACACTTATAAAGCCATTACTTACAATGTTGTGCTTTCAGAAACAAGTACTGTGTTTCATCAGAGTGACGTGAAGATTCCTAATAGTGCACATGTATTTACCACATTTTATGCTAAAACAAAATCACTGTTAGTTAATCCAAGTCTCTTTCCAAATCCCAAAGACTATGACCATCTTATGGGTTATGACAAACCATTCACTTTTGATATGGAAGAAATCAGTGAAAAGAAACAGCTTAAAGATGAGAAATGAGTCTACTGTTTTTATATTTGTGCTTAAATGTGATTTAGTTTTCCACGTGTAATAAAATTGTCTTTTCTGTTTTCTGTTAGTGACTGTTAAAAATAATTTGAAATTGTAGCAAACAACTTTTAATTAATTTTCAGAGAATTATATTCCTTTATAATAACAAGCTATGTGAAAATAGAGTATAATATCACACCACTTGTGTTTTTAAAAAGGTGTGAAAATACACGTACATTTTGGCATATGCATAGATAATTGAATCAAGAGTGATTGCCTTCAGCTGGGGATCAGATGTCAGACCCGTAAGGGGTAGTTATTTTTCCTTTGTGTGGAGATCAGATATCGAGGAAATAGAGGAAGTTATTTTTCCTTTGCATTTGGATTTTTCTTTTTTACCTAAAAGATTTATTTACTTTTAGAGGGAGGGGGAGGGAGGGAAACAGAGAGGGAGAGAAACAGCAATATGTGAGAGATACATTGATCAGTTACCTCTTGCATGCCCCCAGCTGGGGACCTGGCCCACAACCCACGCATGTGCCCTGGCAGAATCAAACCAGTGACCTCTCGGTTTGTAGGCTAGCATTTGATCCACTGAGCCATACCAGCCAGGGCCTGGGTTTTTCTAAGTGTATTATAGATACTATCTTTTCTCACATTAAAACTCTTCTTAAAAATTTATAAATTCTGGAAAGTAGTGTTAATCTCCCTTTGGTCCAGTGCCCAGTTTATTGCCTACATTTTCTGGCAGGGATGCCCATAATAAGACTGTCCATGTGTGGTCAAGTGTGGTCAGCTTTGGGGAAAATGGTGACCTAAGTAGTGTTGTCTTATGTGGTCCCATGTATTCTTCATGCACTTCCCTTGGTGCACCATCAGCAGGAAAATCACATGTACTGAATAGATGGATGGTACATTTTATAAAATAGCAGTCTCTATGCTAACTTCTTCTAAAAAGAAATGTCAGTTTGCTGTTCCACTAATTTATGTGTTCATTGGTTGATTCTTGTATGTTTCCTGACTGGGAATAGAACCTACAACCTTGGCATATTGGGTTGACACTAACTAACTTGAGCAACCCAGGCAGGCATATATGCTAACTCATTGTTGCATATATTGTTGGCATTTTAAGATTTTTACCACTTATTTAAAATAAAAATTCATTCCCATACATGATTTTCAGCTATAATCAAAAGACTTCAAACCATGCTATTTAGATCTGTAGATAGTTATTAAGTGCTGGAGTGTGCCAAGTACTGTGCTAGTTTCCAAGTCACAGTTAAGAATAAGACACTCAGACTGTGGAGCTGCCTAAAGTCTTATTGCTTGCCTAGGAGGTAAATCTAATCATGGCTTGCCTCTGTGTAGGGGATGTTGATGGCAAAGCAGCAGAGCCATCAGTAGTTCATAGGGAAGATCATTTCAAGTCCGAAGCTGCTAGAAGCTTACAGTTTAAGGAAGGAAAGTACTCCTCTTTCTGAGAAGCACAGCCTGCCTTCTCAGAGAATGGGCTGTGGGTCTTGGAAAGATGAACAGGCTGGTGCCATCTCTGTCCTTGGGCTGCCTCTCTTCCTGCCTGTTTACCTAGATATATACCTGTTGCCGTCTTAGCAGTTAATGTGATTTATTATCTGTCTATAGAAATTATTACATAATAGCTCTGGCTGGCGTAGCTCAGTGGATTGAGCGCGGGCTGCGAACCAAAGTGTCGCAGGTTCAATTCCCAGTCAGGGCACATGCCTGGGTTGCAGGCCACGGCCCCCAGCAACCACACATTGATGTCTCTCTCTCTCTCCCTCCCCTCTCTAAAAATAAGTAAATAAAATCTTAAAAAAAAATTATTACATCATAAAGTTGTTCATTATAAAATACTGGAGAGGGCCCTGGCTGGTGTGGCTCAGTGGATTGAGCACCGGCCTGTGAACCACAAGGTCGCCAGTTCGATTCCCAGTCAGGGCACATGCCTGGGTTGTGGACCGGGTCCCAGTGAGGGTTGTGTGAGAGGCAGCCACACATTGATATTTCCCTTTCCCTTCTCCTTTGTCTAGAAATAAAATCTAAAATAAATAAAATACTGGAGAGTGGAAGCAAGAAAAAATTCCTAGTTCTAGAAAAACCCAGCATTGTTAACATTGTAAAGTTTTCTGTTAAGGTTCATGTTCATGTGTTTTGAGTACATTTTACCTTCTTTAAATGTCCTCTATTTATGTAACCATTTTGTCACCTGTGTAATGGAGTGAAAAAAACTATTTTAGTATCAGAATACTTATTCAGAAGACAACTTGTTTGTTTAGGGAAAAGAAAAAAAGCTTAAAAAACTGAGTGAGAAAGAGAACTTCTCAAAAGGATCAGCATGCAGAGGGTATACGACATGATGATTCTTCACTGAAGTCAGTCAGCAGAAACAACTCAGGCCAACATAAGTGTAAGCACATCTCCCCATGCCACTTCACTAACCTCACCCCAGGCAGAGTGATCTTGGAAAGATTGGGAAGGCTATGAGTTCCCTACTGTCGATGTGAAGGGCATTGAGTCTTATTTGAGTCTTAAAGGATAGGATGATTCTAGCTGATGCCTGGGTTACATCACATAATAAATATACCCTTGGACAACAAAATGTATTGTAATTCTTTTCCTCAATATGGATTTAATTATACTGAAAGTGCAGCTTTTGGGAACAAAGGTAACTAAATGGCCGTTAGGTATAAATGATAACCTTAGTTTGGAAACAATTGTTAAAATGGTATTCTGATTTTTTTCATAATACTCTGTGCTTTTTGTTGCTTTGAGAATTTCAAACCTTCAGAAGTATGAGAGTACAAGGAGCCAACATGACCAATTTGTGGTCAATATTATTTCAGCTGGACTCTAGCCACTTGCCCTCTGCTTTTACTTGAGAGCATCTCAGACATCATAACTTTAAATACTAAGTTTTGTAACTCTGTAAGATAACGACTTAGAAAATATAACTGCTATACCATGATACCTAAACCACCTCCCCCAGCGTTATCAAATAGTCTGTTCAAATACCCAATTGTTTTGTAATCCACCCCCCCCCCCACACACACACACATTTTGTTTGGATTAAGATCTAAGTAAAGTTTGCACCTTAGTCACCAATTTTTGACATGTCTTAACACTTAAAACTGTGGCTCCTTCCTTTTTTTTTTCACTTTTTTTCCCTCCTTGCAAATTATCTGATGAAGAAACTGAGTTTGCCCTTTACACATTTTCATGGTCTAGATTTTTTTATTGTATCCCCAAGGTGTAATTCAACATATTTCTCCGTCTTCTGTATTTCCTATAAATTGGTGGTTGGACTTGAAGCTTCAATTGGGGTTTGATTACTTTAGAGAAGACTAATTCATAGATTATGTTGTTTGTCTTATCAGTTATTATGTAAAAAAAATGCCCCTTAGCTCTGGCTGGGGTGGCTCAGTATATTGAGTGCCAGCTTGTGAACCAAAGGGTTCAAAGCTGAGAAAGGCAGAGAAACAGATACTTTCCCTAATCCCCAGAAGGAACCAACTCTGCAGACACCGTGACTTTAGCCCAGGGAAACTGATTGCAGATCTCTGACCTCCAGAGTTGTAAGAATGAATGCATTTGCCTTGTTTTAAGCCACTATATTTGTGATTATTTGTTCCAGTGGCAATAGGAAACCCATCTTTGGTCAATAGGACTGTCTTCAAATTGGTTATCTAAGATAAGGTGTTTCAGGCTCATCATGTACATTTTCTGCCCCAGACCTAGAATCAACAATTTCTCCAGTCTCTGTTCCTTTTAGTGGGAAATAGTATTTCAAGACCACTATGGGCTTTTCCTCTTTTGTTTCCCCTCACTTTTTAAACACATTTCAAAATTATAGTAAAAAAAACAACAAAAATTTACCATGTTAACCAATTTTAATTGTGCAGTTTAGGATAGTTCAGTGTTGTGCTAATTATATTTATGTTTCTGTGTAACATCTCTAGAACATTTTTTAAAATCTTGCAAACCTGAAACTTAATACCCAAGGAACAACTCCCCATGTCTTCAGCCCCCAGGGTGTTTTTACCTTTAAAAATTGGGGAAGTCGTACAGTTCTTTAGTGAAAACTTTTACCAACATGTGCGTATTTTCCTCTAAACTTGTGGATTTTTATGCCTCAACTTCACATGCCATTGTAATCCCATTGTCCTATGATTTCAAGTAGCCAAGAACATAAAGGACCAACTGTTTTCTGGAATTGACTAAGAGTTTTGAAATGAAACAAATGCCACACACATGATAGTGACCATTTTATTAATACAGCTCAAAATACTTCCTGGAGCTACAGTTGGCTTAAGGAAGTGCACTCTCAAGCCTGGTGGCATCCCAGCCCCCGGAGCAGAACTACAGGTAGTATCCATGTTTTGGGGTCTCAGGTGTTTAAGGGTCTCCTCCAGCCTGGCTCTGCCCCATGGCTGAACCTGTTACTGAGCAGAAATAGTTTGCATGTTACTATTCAGGTCAGATCTATACACAGTGCTCTGAGCCATGAGCAATTGTATAAAGAACTTGTGTGGGAGAATAGCTATGCAGATGGAAAGGGATGCCATCTGTTGCGATCCTAAAGGAGACATACTGGCTGGTTTTGTTGTTGACTGGGAAATACCATGTTTTGTTTTGAAAGCTCTGTGCTCTCATTTGCATCAAGTGCTGGAAAAGAGTACATGCTAAATCATTTTCTTCTCTGCCCTTACAGGAAGTGCTCAAATACCACACACACACACACACACACACACACACACACACACACAAACACACACGGACAATAAAGAGGAACACAGTTGAATTGGAACTAGGAAGTCATGTGACTAATAACTAAGTTCAATTTTTTTTCTACTTACTGGGAAGGAAGAGGCTGATGACGAGTTACTGATTCTCCTTGTATTTGTGAAGTTTTAGAGATATTAAATCATGTTCCCACTTATGTTCTTTTCCACCCTGCTTTCTTCCACATTTACTGAACCCAGAGAGCAACACTGGATCTGCAACTCCTCTGATGCGAGTGTTTGGTATAGCTACTGCGGTAAGTGCACCAGCAACAAGCAGTTGCAGTGTCAAGTATTTTGAGGCTGCGTTTTCACAAGAACCTCATTTTACTGTGGTGGAAACACAGGAAATGATCGGGTTATCTAGCTGCTGCTAGCAGCAAGAGTGATGGCTGGTGAGTTCCTTATGTGGCTTTTCTTGATGATCCTTTGCAGACCTCACCAGTCTCTAAACTGTTGTACTTAATCTCCATGTGCTTTTGTTGTTCCCTGTGGTCAGCTTTCCCCACCTTCAACCCAGTTTCACATTCCTCCCAGTTTCGGCAGAACTCTCTGCTTCTGAGCTTTGCCTCAGTCCCAAGACTGTTTCTTCTTGAGAAGAACAAACAGTCCTAGCTGACTTCTATAATTAATTATTACTCTAAGCCAGCGATTTTCAACCAGTGTGCTACAAGAATTTTTAAAACATGCAATACCTGACTGTTTATTCAGTGGCCCTGACCTCTTTTCCCTTAGACTGTCAAATAAGAAAATGACGACAGCCAACACAGCAATAGCCTTCCTTCTGGTATAAATGAATCAAAATTATACCTATATTTTGGTCAAAAATATAATATTTTTTGGCATGCCACAGAATTTTAGTAATTCATGTGTGCCATGGGATGAAAAAGGTTGAAAGTCACTGCTCTAAGCTGTATTATTATTACTTTTTTTAGCACAGTATTGGCATATAACAGATACTCGAGGCTCTTAATTTGGATGTAAGCCTGGTTTTGTCATTTACTGGCTCTATGACCTTGAGCAAAATACTTAGCCTGTCTGTGCCCCAGCTTTTTAATTTGTAAAATGAAAGTGACTTTAGAACCTATTTTACAAGAATTGCTGTGAGATAAAATTTTTAGCACAGATCCACACAGAAACAGTCTTCATTACTTTTTAAAAATATCAGCCATACCCTAATGCTATTAACTATTTGGATCACTGCTCCCCACTCCCTTTCCCTTCTCTGAAAGCACAGCTTCAGGACTTCATCACTGTTTTTCTTTAGTGCTTTCCACTTCGTTGCTCACCATGGGTTGGTTAGATGGCTTTTCTGCCCACTGGTGATATCAGAAAGGTAGAAAGGGAGTCTTCCCCAAATATTAGTTCTTTGAGATTCTTTTGGGAAAAGGGATTTATGGTTTAATCATTTTGTGGACAATTACGAGTATACATTGAGGTCTGAGAAGTTTTGCAATTTAGAAACCTATTTATTTTATTTTATTTTTGAATGTGTGTTGAGTATCTGTGAGAAACACTCTAGCAAATGCTGACATAAAGTTACTTCCAGGGAATTAACATAATTGACAGGTGTTAAAACAAGCTGAATTCCCTCTCAACTTGGCTCTGGACTTTCTTTGTTTTACAAGATCAGTGCCATTGCACGCTTCCAAGAAGGCTTCTCAGTCCACTTGCCCCACATGTTAATTATGCTACCTTCTCTGTGATAAGTTTGAGAAAACCTTTATTAGTAACACTTCATATTATAACTAGTTTTTAAGCACTTAGTAACAATGATTTGATTTGTCTTTTGATTTTTGTGGGAAGATGTTGCCTCTTTCACTCTACTGCTGAGAGATCCCATGGTCCCTCCCTGCTGCCCCATGGATGGCAGGACTGAGAGACAAGCAGGGGTGTGTGTGTGTGTGTGTGTGTGTGTGTGTGTGTGTTACAACAAGCTTGTCAGCCACCACCCCCAACTCCACACCCCTCCCTTCTCCACCTCAGACAATCCACACTGGTTAAGAAGTCCCAAAATGAAGGAGGTAATTTTATAAAAATATGTCTTGGGGAATGTTTTTCCCCTCACACATAGGTCAAAGTAATTAAATACCTTCAACCTCCACCTTAACAACATAAAGACATTAAAATACTACATTATGGGGAGATTTTTTTTACTTGTCCAGCATCTTAAATTTTACTTTATTGTAGCAAGAGCATTTTACATAACATATACTCTCTTAAAATTTTAAATGTACAGTACATTATTGTTGACAATAGATACAATGTCTCACAGCAGATTCCTACAGCTTATTCCTTCCTTGTGCTTGATTAACACTTTATACCTGTTGATGAGTGACTCTCCATTTCCCTTCCTAATAGCCCCTGGCCGCCACCATTACACTATTTTTTTAAAACTCCTCATCTATGAATATATTAAAAAAATTGATTTGAGAGAGAGAGAGGAAGGGGAACGAACCTGCAACCTTTTGATATACTGGCGATGCTCCAACCAACCTAACCACCCAGCCAGGGCCCGTTCCACTCTTTGATTCTATGAATTTGACTGTTTTAGATACTGCAGATAAGTAGAATCATATTGTATGTGTCTTTATGTAACTTATTTCCTTTAACATAATGTCCTCAAGATTCATTCATGTTGTAGCAAATTTTAAAATTTCCTTTTTAAAGGCTGAATAGTATTTCACTGTATGTATGTACCACCTTTGCTTTATCTATTCACCTATCAATGGATGTTTAGGTTGTTTCTATACCTTGGCTGTTATGAATAATGTTGAAATGAACATGGGAGTGCTAGTATCTCTTTGAGATCCTTATTTTAATTCTTTTGGATAATTACTCAGAAGTGGCATGGGTGGATCATATGGCATTTCACTTTTTCATTGGAATCTCAACTGTTTTCTATGATTGGTAGCACCATTTTTGCATTCTGAATAACAGTATATAAGTGTTCCAATTTTCCACATCCTTGCCAACACTTTTTTTAAAAAGTAATAACCATCCTGACAGGTAGGTGACATCTCATTGTGGTTTTGATTTGTATCACCCTGATGCTTAGTGATTTTGAGCATTTTTTAATATACCTGTTGGTCACTTGCATCTCTTCTTTGGAGAAATGGCCACTCAAGTCCTTATCCCATTTTAAAACAGGTGATGAGGTTTTTGTTTTTGCTTTTTTTTTTATAATTGAATTGTTGGAATTCCTTATATATTTTGGATATTAACCTTTTATCAGATATATGATTTGCAAATAATTCCTCCCATTTCTTTTTTTTTTAATTTTTAAAAAATATTTTATTTATTTATTTTTAGAGACGGTAAGGGAGGGAGAAAGAGAGAGAGAGAGAGAAACATCAATGTGTGGTTGCCTCTCATGTGGTCCCCACTGGGGACCTGGCCCGCAACCCAGACATGTGCCCTGACTGGGAATGGAACCTGCGATGCTTTGGTTCGCAGCCTGAGCTCAATCCACTGAGCTACGCCAGCCAGGGCTAATTCCTCCCATTTCATAGGTTAACTTTTCACTCTGTTGATTGTTTCTTTTGCTGTGCAAGAGTTTTTATTTTATTTTTATTTTTGAATCTTTATGGGAACTTTATTCAAATAGTCATCTAAGAAGACGGTGGGTTGGTACCCCAACAGACCACCTTACACTCCATTTTAGTTAAGTATATTTTATTGATTGTGCTATCACAGTCGTCCCATTTTCTTTCTCCTCTTTACACCTCTCTGCCCTGCATCCTCCTCTCTCCAGCATTCCCCTTCCCCCAGTTCATGTCAGTGGGTCATAGATATAAATTCTTTGGCTTCTCCATTTCCTATACTACTCTTAAGCTCCCTCTCTTTATTTCGTACCTATCATTTATGCTTCTTATTCCCTGTCCCTTTTCCCATTGTCTCCCCTTGCCTCCTCTCCACTGGTAACCCTTTATGTGATCTCCATTCCTGAGTTTCTGTTCCTGTCCTAGTTGTTTGCTTAGTGCATTTTGTTTTGAGGTTCAGTTGTTGATAGTTGTGACTTTGTTGTCATTTTACTGTTCATAGTTTTGATATTCTTTTTCTTAGATAAGTCCCTTTAACATTTCATACAATATGGTCTTATTGATGGTGAACTCCTTTAACCTGACCTTATCTGGGAAGCACTTTATCTGCCCTTCCATTCTGAATGATAGCTTTGTTGGATAGAGTATTCTTGGATGTAAGTCCTTGCCTTTCATGACTTTGAATACTTCTTTCCAGCCCCTTCTTGCCTGCAATATTTCTTTGAGAAATCAGCTGATAGTCTTATGGGAATTCCTTTGTAGATAACTGTCTCCTTTTCTCTTGCTGCTTTTAAGATTCTTTCCTTATCGTTACTCTTGGGTAATTTAATTATGCTGTCTCTTGTTTAGCGCTTCCTTGAATCCAACTTCTTTCAGACTGTGCTTCCTGGACTTGCATGTCTATTTCCTTCACCACATTGGGAAAGTTCTCTTTCATTGTTTTTTTTAAGTAAGTTTTCCATTTCTTGCTCTTCCTCTTCTCCTTCTGGCACCTCTGTGATTTGAATGTTGGAATGTTTAAAGTTGTCCCAGGGATTCCTAAGCCTCTCCTCATTCTTTTGAATTCTTGTTTCTTCATTCTGTTCCAGTTGAATGTTTATTTCTTCCTTCTGCTCCAAACCATTGATTTGAGTCCCAGTGTCCTTCCCGTCACTGTTGGTTCCCTGTACATTTTCCTTTATTTCACTTTTCATCCTTCATTTTTTCCTCTAATTTGTAACCATATTCGACCAATTCTGTGAGCATCCTGATTACCAGTGTTTTGAACTCTGCGTCTGATAGGTTTGCTATCTCCTTATTGCTTAAATCTTTTTCTGGAGTTTTCATCTGTTCTTTCACTTGGGCCATATTTCTTTGTCCTGGTGTACCTGTTATGTTGTATATGTTGTAAGGGGCAGAGCCTTAGGTATTCACTGGGCTGGGCAACCTACGTTGTTTTATTGTGGCACTATATATGGGGGGGATGGTCAGAGAGGGAACATTGCCTCTTGGTTGGCTCTTAACCTGCTTTCAGTCACTTCCCCCGCTACCAACAAGCAGATTGTGCCCTTCTGGAGCTGATTCCTGGGTGGGTGAGCTTGTGTATGTTCTAGGATCTCCTTGGCCCCCCAGTGAACACTTCTGTAATATTGGAAGCTTCTCCTTCCACTGAAACTCCCACAGGTTTTTACAGCCATAGGTTTTGAGGCTTCCCCCCCCCACATTGGAACCTTGTG